TTTCCAAGTAAATAAATGGGGTTATATGTAATTAAGGCAAGATGATTGTCCGCGCAGCAGCATTGAATAGCGTAAATGACCTCCCTTAAACTCCGCTCCTTAATGATGATTAATTAATGAACTTATTTCATGATTGTGAAGTGTTATGCCGTGTCTAATAGAGACTCGTATAATGTACGTAGTAGTATAAATGAATGGTACTGTATTGTTTTGTTAATATTGCAAATTAGTAAGGCTGTCCGCATCCGTATTCGTTTAAAGAGGAAATATCCGCATCCGTTTTAAACGAATATTATCCGTATCCGATTAAGGATATCCGATTACTAAACGGATACGGATTTGGTAATTGTATATCCGATCCGTTTAAAATCCGATCCGAATATGCATCAGTTTAAATAATCGTTTATCTGAATATCCGATCCGTTATATATAATTTTTCCTAATTTTTTATGTTTATTATTTGTTTCTCTATTCATATTTCAAAATATAAGACATTTTTATATACAAAATAAATGTGTAGACATATAAAAATATATACAATCATATAAAAGTATGTGTATATGTGTGTTGTGTATATCTTTTTATCATATGAAGTTATCATAGAATATCATAAATCATGAAAACAAAGAAAATAATTATCTCATATCAAATTATAGTTGATTTAATAAAGTTTGACTTTAATCTAATTTAAAATTAAAATATTGTTTAATTTGATTATAAAAATTAGAAACGGATACAGATATATCCGATATCCGACCGATATCCGACGAATGCGGATACGGTTTTGATTTTCAGGATCCGTCAAGATCCGTATCCGAATTCGATATCCGACAAAAATAAACGGATATGGATTTGGTAATGGCACATCCGATCCGATTAATATCCGTTTACACCTCTACAAATTAGTATCAATACATGACACTGAACACTTCTAATATTTCGTTCACAAAAATGACGACTCTTGCTCCCTCGCTCTCCATCCAGTCCCGACCTGACTCATCAGTCATCCCTCCACCACCGTCAATTCTACTACATAAGTTTAGTTGGCATTGTAATAAAAAAATTGACCTTAAAATCAATCAAGCTTACAGTAAGTTGTTGACGAGGATGAAGAAATGGAATGTGTGATGAGTTTACTAGGAATTTAAAGGGGTAGAAACCATCATTTTTTCAGACGAAGCACCATATGGGTTCCAAATGAGCGAGTATCATTCGTTGAAACTGGATGCTGGTGTTAATCGAACCGCCTCGATATACAAGTATGTTAACAAAAAAATAAAACTAACAAATATTACTTTGGGCATAAAAATTATTTTTTTTGTTAATTTTGTGAGCTTTTGAATAACCCTCGTGCTTTTATCCCTTTACACAACCAAAATTCATATTTTTGACTGAGACTTTTTAGACCTAATAAGATTTTGATGGGAGCATTTTACGAATTTTGAACTACGTTTTATACTCTAAAATTTTTAGTTTTGGAAATTCTTATATAATTTATTCAATCAATGCTAGTCTTACGTACTTGTTTTCTCTATACTTATATGCTAGCCAATTATAAATTGTTTTTAACTTATTTATTACTCCGTAGTTGATACATATGTCTATGTACTTAAAATTAATTACAAACTGCTTATAACTTATAAGTTTAAAAAATATGTAGGTCTTACACACTTCCCTTTAAGCTAATTTTTTCCACTTTTCTGTTTTGGCAGATTATTTACAAAATTATCTCTCGTCATTCATGAATATCCTCGACTGATTTATCTATCATTATATGTTATTTTACTTACACAAACGAATATTTTACTAAAAGCATTTATAATTAAAAAACTGTTTATCAGTAACAAATTACTCCCTAATAAGCATATGCACACTTTAACTAATGACAACATTGAAGTTAGATGATGAACAAAAAAATTACTCCGTAATAACAATTTTTTGAATAAAATTTTAATGGGTAAATTAACTTTGAAAATGTTAAAGTTAAATTTTGACTTTAAATAATTTTTTCCCAAAATGTTAAGTGATAAAATAATAATAATAATAATAATAGAAAATAGTCTATATATTAAATTGTCATGATGATTAAAATCTAGACTCTTTTTTAAGACCGAACACATCACCAGTCTCTGTTAATGGTAATCGATCGACCAACAATATGGCATCACTGATCAATCTCGACGAGCGTGCCTAACAGGCGATGTCCATTATCCCTCTCTTTCTTTTCAAAAAACGATTATCTCTCTTCCAAATAATGTGTGTGTGTGATCGTAGAACTAGAGAGTTGTGTTTCTTTGTGCTTTTTTTCTAGAGACAGAGAGTATGAAAATCAACAGAGAAACACAAAATGGCGCAAAAGGAAAAACTTATGTGATGGGGAAGTAATAAATTGACAAAATACACTCGCGTTGTTCAAGAAAAATCATCTACAATAATAATAAAATATCTTTATTCAAACAAGCTTGAAAAGAGTCACATTATTTTGAGCAAAAACATGCATTACGAGGTAATAAATATTGCGTATTGTTTTCAATGGAAGATAATTGGGGGAGTAGTATATTATCTTTGTCTAGAAATAAAGAAATATTTGCACTAAATAACACTAAAATTTGAGTCATTTCTTTAAATAACGCTTAAACTATTTCATTTCCTAAATAGCACTTAATAATGTTCATATTGTCCTGTGATGACGAACATTTACTTGAATAATGACTAATAAATAATGACTAAAAGTGATACTTTGGCAAAAAAACACATGTAATGATATTTAGAGAAAGTTATTATGTTTTAGTGCTATATTATTAAATTTCCCAAAAATAAATTGCTCATACACTATGTACACGGCGTCATTCACTTTATTTTCTTATTTTGAGTACTTATTTCATAATATAAAATAGTAATGTCAATCACTGTTTTGTATAATTTTCTAAATTTTCAAATATACAAAATAGGTTTTTGAATTTTACACTTATAATCTACAAATTTAATTGAAAATAAATTCTTTCAAACTTCATAATCTAAAATAGATATTCAATTTTGGATGGATGGAGTATTCATTATAGAGCATAGTAGCATGTTCAAATCCATATACTCCGTATTTCTTAAGAGGGTGAGAATATCCACTGAACTTTTCATATCTTGATATTAAATATATATTTCAATTAAATGTATTTTTTTTACAATTTATAGTTAAAATTTTAAAATATTGATCATAAAAGTCAAAATGACAAGAAATATATGTGAGAGAGGGGTTAGCGGTTTTTTCATTTTGGTAGAAACATCTATTTATTTTTTTTCATTTTGGTTTCCTTAAATATTTTGTTTTCTTTTTCATTTGAAGGAAAAAGTTGAATGATCTTTGGGAGAAAAAATAGGGAAAAAATCCAAATAGGATTAGTGTTAGAGATTAGCTAAGCATCTTGAGAAGGATATTTACGACCAGTGTTTAGTGTTAGCGTTTTCAAAGTAATCTACACCATTGAAATTTTATCTAAAATATTAACGCTAATCTCTAAATCTATTCTCAAACATGTCCTAAGGAATATCAATATATGTAAAAAATAGCAAAGAGAAAGTATTTTTGTATCGAACAGTTTTGGTGATTACAAAGAACCAACCCCCTTTATATAGGGAGAGAAGGAAACAAGTAAACTTTTATTTCTACCACTGATGGTGTAAATTACTTGACCGGTCAAACTATACTAGACCGGGTCTAGAATAGTTGGCTTGATTTAGTAAAATAAAGAAAGTAAGAACACTCAGTGTGACCGGTAGGACTTTAGGTGGAACACCTGTAGCCCGAATTATATTATAACAGAGAATGCACGGTCACTTTTACAAGGGAGTTTAGAGAGAGTGAATTCGGATCCCTCTCTCCGAGAATTACAAGAGGTATATATACTAGGCTAGGGGGGCAGGACCACGCGCGCCCACGTGGGGGCATGCTGCTGGCGTGGTGTGAGGTGACTGGCTCTGAGCTGCCTTGTCATCTTGCGAGGGGGGTTGCGCCCTTGTCGTGTTCTGGCTTGGAAATGTTCCTTCGGCATCTCTGCAATTCCAACCACTACAGTCCAAGTCCTTTTGGATTCCCCCTGCCGACAATCTCCATCCTCTAAAAACTACACCGGTTGATCCCTGAAGGTTGGATTAATTGACTTCGGAATTGATTCCTGACGATGGAGTAAACTGACCGGTATACTATCCGAAGTATACCGGTCAACTTCATCGGTCAACCAGTCGTCCATCTGCCAACGATTCAGATCTCTCTCCTGAGTTTGACCCCCTTTGACCGGTCAACTATCCGGTCCTAACCTTTGACCGGTCTTGGGTGAAATACACCCATCAATAAGCCCTCCACTTCTCGCTTATGC